TTGAAATCTTAACTCTCGAAAATGTCATTTCCAGCGTTTTGAGGCGATATCCAAGACATATTTACTGCACACGCTCAGCGATATTATCGATACTTCAATCCCAAAGACTTCGCAAAAAAGCCTCAATTTTGATTATTTACGCTCACTGGGTGATTGATTTGCGACCAGGCCTGCATATGAATTCGCCAAGGTTGTAAGCCAGTGAGCCCGTGCATTTCTGTTAAGCGGTCATATTTGAAAGTGTAAATAAAGAAAGGGAAAACCCGAAGCTCGCCTTTCACTCAGATAAACAGTACAAGTCGTGTTAAATTTATTTACATAACTAAACAAAATGATTATAGAATTAAACCTTTAAGAATTAAATGCTCATATGAAACATTTTCCACCTTAAATACACACGTGTTTTTCAGAAGGGAAATTAGTCGAACTTTTTTCACGATGGAATTTTGTTTTGAGTCGTTTCGACATAAACAGTCGCTATCAAGACATTACACGAAAAACCCCAGTCACCGTTCTAGCTCTCGTTGTAAGGTCAGAGCTAGTAAATGTGTAACTGGCCAGTTACATAACGTCAAATCGTCGAGCACGCTTGCGGCTTWTTKYCGAAAATGCGACAAAGAATGAACTWCGASCGTTGTTTGTACCAAACAAATTAAACGCTTTAACTCTATTGGAATACGTGGACCTAAGCTGTTCTAGCTCTTCCAGTGACGTTGTAGATACCTCAAAGCTTAGAGGAAACAAGAGCTAAGAAAACATGATTTGCAATGGTTCCTCCATAAGATACTTTTGACTTGAACGTCGCTTCAACGACCTTCTGAAGTCTTCGTGAAGTCGGTCATTGCTTCGCATGCAATGGAGAACCCGCGTAGAACACAGAACAATTATTTCTATCAGGGAGGGGAGTCTCGTGGTATTAAAGAAAAAGTTATTTGTTTTTTCATTTTTAAGATAAAATTCTCTTTCTATAACGATAAATATTTGATTGACATTTAAAAGCTATTTTATAAAGATTTTCAATTTCTCTTTGCGTTTTAGCTTCGATTTTTCGGATAGAATAAAATGACAGGCAGCCTACTCCACTGGGTCGAGTTTTGCTGTGCAAATTCCTCCCGTCGGAGGGTTATGTTTACAACATAAGCTTGTCAGCTTTGCGCTGATTGGCTAGTCGCATTTTCTCAAATCACCCAGA